TGGACGGATGTGTGGATGTATGTATGTATGCATGCGTGCAAGTGTGTATGTCCGTATGTACAGATGTATGTATGTCTGGATGGATGCATGTATGCATGCATGCATGTACGCATGTATGTATGTATGGATCGATGCATGCATGTATGCATGCATGCATGTATGTATGTGTGGATATACGCGTGTGTATGCATGTATGTATAGATGCATGCATGCATGCATGCATGCACGTATGTATGTATGTATGTATGTATGCATGCATGCATGCATGCATGCATGTGTGTGTATGTATGTATGTATGTATGTATGTGTGTGTATGTATGTATGTATGTATGTATGTATGTATGTATGTATGTATGTATGTATGCATGTGCGTATGTATGTATGCATGCATGCATGTATGCATGCATGCATGCATGCATGCATGCATGCATGTATGTATGTATGTATGTGTTTATGCACCCTCGACGCGACAACGACGACGACGACGACGACTACGACGAGGAGGAAAAGGAGGAGGAGAAGAATGAGGGGCAGAAACAGGAGGACCACCAAGAGAAACAAGGGGGGAATCCTCAACACTAAAGACCCCCTGAGGTTATATTTACACACCAAGTCAAATAGGCAAACCGATAGCAAATTACTACCTCTTGCCCTGATGCAAACATTACCCTGCCACAAGTTACGGCCCGGGATCCCTCGCCCTGCGGCGAGAGGACCTGGCTCAAGCGACGCCGGGCCAGCATCGCGGAGGATGGCTCCACATCGAACTGCACCGCCGATGCATCGCCGATGCTTCCTCCGACCCCACCTGCTCGGACCCCATTTTGGAGGCCCAGACTATCACTCTCCGTGCCATCCGCGCTGGGTGGCGCCCGGCTCATGGATGGCCGTCGGTCGCGGCTCTTTCTCCGTCGCCTGTTCTGCAGAGCGCGATAACATAAACGCTGGCTTGCAGACCCCCGCCGACCAACTGGAGGGGCACTGGCCAATCTCGCGACGCCGACGCTCGACGAGTTCGCCGCAGCCCGTTTCGCGGCCCGACCTGCTTCGCTGGGAGCCCTTTTTTCGCGGAACTAATAGAGAGACCTGGGGAGGATATTCGTTGGCTGGAGATCCCTTCGTGCCAGGGCCTCCTCCTCCTCCCCCTCCTCCTCTGCCTCCTCCTCCTCCTCTTCCTGCTCCTCCTCCTCCTGCTCCTCCTCCTCCTCCTCCTCCTCCTCCTCCTCCTCCTCCTCCTCCTCCTCCTCCTCCTCCCCCCTCCCCCTCTCTCCTCCTCACCCCCCCCCTGTTCGCCAGGGCCAGTCTCTTGGGAGGCCTTTTGTTCTCGGGAGGCCCGCTTCGCCCGGGGGCCGTTTGTCGCCGGGCCCATTTCGCTGGAGACCCGTTTCGCCAGCACCCACTTCGCTGGAGGCCCGATTCGCCGTCGCCCGTCGCCGTCGCCATCGTCGGTCCCGCCGTCGTCGCCGTCTTCGTCCGCTTCCTCGCGGTTCCAGGAGGAGGAGGAGGATGAGGAGGAGGAGGAGGAGGAGGACGGTCGGGAGGAGGAGGAGGATGAGGAAGAGGATGGACCAGTGCAAACCCAAGACTCATCAATGTTTTTGTAATCAATCCTCCCTCCAAGCTCCCTCTTTACAGGCCACTACCAGGTTTCACTTCCACTGAGGGAACTGCCTCGTGGGGAGACAACCGTTTGAAGACCCTGAAGCGTGCCAGAACACAATTCTTGGGACTCCAACGCCACGAATCAACATGACTGTTGCGTCTTCAGGATCCTGAATCGTGCCATAACGCCATTCCTGGGACTTCAGCACCGCGAATAAACGTACTTGCTACACCCGCACAATCCTGAGCCCTTCCAAAACACCAGTTCTGGCACGTTGACCATGGGAATCCGCGAAACCCTTGCAAATGTTAAAGATGATGGCGCGCGGCGCTGACGCGAGAGCCCCATTTTGAAAAGGAACCGCCATCAATCCGTGAAAGCTTTTTGCCAATTCTGAAAACGAATGTGCGCGGGACTGAAGCGAGAGCCACAATGTGAAAAGGGACCGCGCTCAATCCGTGACGTTGAGAAAGAATGTGCGCGGCGCTGAGGCGAGGGCCAAATTGCGTAAACGACCCGCCCTCAATCCGAGAATCACTTGGAACTTCTTTAAACTAAATGCGCGCGGCGCTGAGACCAGATCCACAAGGTGAAAACGACCCGCCCTCAATGCTTGAACCTCTGATGAACTGTTGAAACGAATGTGAGCGGCGCTGGAAAGAGCCACATCTGGGAATCGAACCGCCCTCCATTTGTGAAACTGTTGCCAGCCATAAGCTTCATAATCATAAATGGTGAGGAAGTCTCAGGCGAAACGCCGGCCCCCCCCTTTGGACAGGCCTCGGGGTGCGACAGGGACGAGTTCTTCAGAAGGGAAAGGAATAGGGAAGGAGGAAGAGAAGGAGGAAGGGGAGGAGGAGGAGGGTAGGAAGAGGGATATAGGAGGAAAAGGAGGACGAGGAAAACCAAGCACGTGCGCACCCCAATGGGCGGCGGCGGCGGACCCTAACGGGCGGCCGCGGTGAACATGAAAGTGTGGGCCGTACTCGAGTGAGCACGCGTGAACCCTACTGGGCGGCAGCGGCGGCGGCGGGCCCGAACGGGCGGTGGCGGCGGGCCGGGCGAAACGGTCTGGGCGACATGAGCCGGATGAATCGGGTCTCCGGCGAAGCGGATCGGGGCGCAACGGGCCATGGCGAAGCGAGTCTCGGGCGAAACGGGCCGGGCGCAACGAGTCTCGGGCGCAACGGGCCTCGGGCGAAACGGGCCAGGCGAATCGGGAAGACTCGAGCGAATGGGGTCTCCCGCCGAGTTCTCCGCAGCGCTCCAGAGAATCCAGTCGGGCCAGGCCCTCAGCCTTAGGACCCCGCCGAGGGATCTGCCAACCGACGTGCTGCAGCGACCTCTGGAGCTCCGTAGGGACGCGACGCGGCTGCCCACCAAAAGGGCGAAGACCCAGAGCTGCCCCGCTGCGGCAGGGGCTCTACAAGGACGGTCCCTTCCCGGCGCGGACAGCGAAGCAGCAGACGACCTCGACGTGGAGCTCGTGAGAATGATTCTCTCCGTTCCAACTTGGTCAAGATCCTGCTGCCCATGGCTCTCAGACTTCCTTCGGGCCTCCTGGCCCAACCTGACGTCGCGCAGGACGTCCCTAACCTCAGCGGTGGACAAACCTCCCTATAGTAAGCCTCGCTTTAGTGAAAACTGCCTAGGACCGAAACCGACGGACCTGAACCCGCAAAATGACGGCCGCGACGTCCTCTCGCGAAGCGAAATCGGCCAATTCGCTAAGCGACGTGTCAAGGCAGGAGATCGATCAACCTCCCATAACCGTCTGGGTCTGGCTGCCCACGGACCTCCAGTCCGGGGGCGAGGCGCCCGCTCACTCTCTCCCCGTCCCGCCCCATCCGTCGCTACTCTGCCTTTGGGCTTTTCCCCCTCCTCCCACAAGCCTTCAGTCGGGCCTGTCCCTCTACAGGAGAAATACTCAAAAATAGTAACACAGAGTTTGAGGACCGCATTTTGAATATTAGCTAAGTTTCGCATTTCGTTCAAAATCTGCCTGTAGGGGGACATGTCCGACATAACACAAGCCTCCGCGCACACTGCCTCCAGGTCTCCAGTGTACTATCCTCTCCTCCCCGACCCTGCTTCCCGATGGGCAAGCAAGCTGGTGCTGCTCAGGATGCTGCTGCGCTGCCGCGGTCAGACCGCGAGAGCCGTAAGCCTCCGCCGCCTGCCCTTTCGCGTGCACCTCCTCCTCATCCTTCTCCTCCTCCTCCTCCTCCTCCTTCTCCACCTCCTCCTCTTCCTGATGTGTTCCCCCTCTTGCGCAATACGGTATTCGCACGGGCACTGTACGAACGCAGCTTCCTGCGCAAGCACCAGGCCACGGAAAAACAGATACTTCCTTCACCGCTGCCTCGACACGGTGGCGGGACAGTGGGTCCTGATCCATGACAACATCCCACGTCGGCGCGGGTCTCCTAAGGAACCGATACCCGATAATGGGAGTGACCCCGGGGCGCCGCGCGATCTCTCGAGGAGGCGTCCGATGGTCTCGCTCGAGCGCCACCGGCCCCCGCGGCACCCAGCGCTCCACACGACCCTGCCGGGATCACGGACAGTCGACCGGCTCGCAGCACACGGCAGCGCCGCTCTGCGCTCCCTCTGCGCTCCGAGACAACTACATCACCACCACTGCGCGCGTCATCTTTGTGCACGCATCACGTTGGTAGGCCCGTGGGGCCCACGCAACCCGACGTGAATTCCTCATCCTGGTCCTCCTTCGGGGGCGGCCAAGAGGGGGGAGTCAAAGAGGGGGGCGCCAACCATGGCCAGCGGCATGCGCGTGGGGGGGCAGGGACGTGATGAACAAAAAAGAGGCGCCATGAGATCTGGGGAAATATCATGGCCCACGACATGATATCCACCCCCCCTAGTCATCAGCCCCCCCTTCGCTGCCCCCGACTCCTGCTCCTCCTGCTCCTTCAGGCCTGGATGGGGTTCTTGTCCGTCAGGAGGTGGATGATCTCGAACGCGTGCTTCACCTCCCGTGGAGGAGGAGGGGGAGGAGGGGGAGAAGGAGGAGGAGGGGGGGGAGGAGGGGGAGGAGGAGGAGGAGGTGGAGGAGGAGGAGGAGGAGGAGGTGGAGGAGGTTTATATATATATATATATATATAAATGGAGCCCGCAGCGAACCCCGTCCGCCCGAGGCGCCAGGGTATGGGGCTTCACCAGGGGCGCCCACGCGGGGCACCCACCTGGCCGCGCCGACCCCAACAAGGGCCAGACCACCGAAGCACCCTCCCCTGAGTCCCGCCCGCCGCTGGGACGAGGTCGAGACCTGCTCTCACGAGCTGCTGAGGTATGCAGCATCACCAATGGCGCCCCAGCGAGGCACCCACCTGGCCGTGCCGACCCGTAAAAGGGCCAGACCACCGAAGCCATCCCTCCTTCAGCTGCCGCCATGGCCAGGGCCACGCAGGATGCGCAGCACGATCGCGGTGTTCTTCTTAATCTCGTCGGCCATGACGTCAACGCTGCCGCCCATGCCGTTGACGGCCACAACCATGTCCATGACCTTCACCTTCTTGGTCGGGTTGCTCGTATTCCACTGCTTGATCAAAGAGCCGTCCTTGATGCCCGTGATCCTGAGCATCTGCCCGTCCATGAAGGGGTCCACGTCGATCCCGATCGACTCCGCAGGTGAACCCTTCTGCAAGACAACGTTGAAGTACTTTCCCTTGGGCCCCTTGCCCTCCACAGTTCGATGAACGCCACTTCCACCGTGGTGAACACCCCGCTCAGCACGTGGAGAACCCACAGGCACGGCACGGGGAACATGTTCCACCAACTGAACACCCTCAGCACGAGTACGACGACCACCAGGAACTGCACGAAGATCAGGCTCCACGCGTTGAGCATTGGGATGCAAACCATAATCACCACCATCAGGATCATCATGCCCGCCCGCCTGAACACCATCACCTCCCAACTGTTGGTCATCGTCACATTCGTCAGCCCACGCCGTACGAGCAGTTCGACTTTTCTCATTCACGGTCATAGTAGCATGCTCCACCCGCCAATCAGGCTCCACACGAAAGCAACTACGACGATGAGGCTCCACGGGCTCCACGCGTAGAGCAGGCTCCGCTCGAAGTTCAGGCTTCACGCTGCGCTCAGGCTCCACACGAAGATAAGGTTCCACATGAGGGCCAAACTGCCCTCGTCGATCAGGCCCCCACTGAGTTCACGAAGATCAGGCGCCACCCGAGGAACATCATCCAGAGGATCCTGTCCTTTCTCGGCAGCTCGTTCTCGCCTGCGCGCTCTCCGTCTCGCACTCTTGGACAGCTCAGGCTCGACTCCAACATCACCCTCCGCGCGATGATCGCCATCCAGCTCCCCTGGTCGAGCATCAGGCTCCACGCGAAGATCGGACTCCTCACGAAGCTCGGGTTCCACACCAGGTTCCGGATCCACCCGCCCAACATTAGGCTCCACACTAAGAGCCGGCTCCTCCAGAAGATTGAGCTTCACGCACCGCGCGATCGCCACGGGAAAATCACCACATTCGTAATGCACACCGTCGATTACATCCTCCTGTGCGTCATCCTTCGGATGATCCGCGTCGTAGAGAGAGTGCTCATCACCCAGACTCTTGGCCAGTGCCCAGTCCAGCATGCCAGGATCCGCACTATGACCTCCAGGAGGCTGTAGAAAAGCTCCAGACCGATCACAATGATCTCCAGGCACTCCATGAAGCTCACCATGCCCTCCACTAGCAGCCGCCACCATTCCACCATGAGAATCACAATGGCGGTCCATAAAACACTCAGCAGCAACATCTTGTTGATGAGGCACCAATTCTCGTAGCAAAATGTGAACGTCGCCCACGGCCTCCGCGCGGAACTCGGGCGCGTGCACGTTGAAGGGGAAGGAGGGTATGTGAGGAAACCCAGTCACACTATGATCACCATCCCAACTAGCGCCATGCTCCTGCATCGCGAGTACTCGAGGTCGCTTGGAAGGATTGCCGCACGTAGTACCGCCAGGTCCACTGCTACGCGCCGTCCCATGAGGATCACCAGGCGGGCCTCCATGAGGACCCTCAGCAACACGCCGTTTACCGCCAGCAGCCCCGACTCCAGCATCATGATCATGTCCATCACCTCCGTCGGGGGGGTCATTACCATCATCATCGTCATGGTCGTGGTCCGCACCTGCATGAGGGAGAAAGCGGTGTCGGAAGATAATATTGACGTGCGACTCTCCAGCAGAAGTTTGGTGCCCATGATCGACCACAACATAGTACGGCAAGCGCTGCCGAAGTTCTTCCATGAGCAACACCGTGATGGCATTGTCCATCCGAGCGTCGTACTTGGCTGAAAGGACCAGGGTGAGGACGAACTTGTGCTCGTGGCTGTTCATCCTGACCTTGCATTGGCGACCAAGCAGCAGCTGCTGAATCACCCACTCCAATCGCGATGACGAAACCATGGAGGGCGGCGGGGGGGGGGGGCGGCCGCAAGTGCGGCCGTGCGGCCCACGGGCAAGCAGGTGCTCGACCAAATGGGCTAGGAGGTGGAGGAGGATGAGGAGGAGGAGGTTCACCGCCCATAGAGGGAAAGTCAAGGGAGAGAGAGGAAAATTGGGGTGGGGGGCCCATCAGACGAGAACTTTTTGTTCCCGCCCGAGGCTGCGACCCATCTCGGACGGGCCCAGCCAACAGGGCCCCCCGAGGAGGAGAAGGAGGAGGAGGACGAGAAGGAGGAGGAGGAGGGGGAGGAGGAGGAGGAGGAGGAGGAGGAGGAGGAAGAGGAGGAGGAGGAGGAGGAGGAGGAGGAGGAGGAAGGAGGCCCGCACCCCACGCGGGGGGCGGGGGCGCACGAGGCGAGAGGAGGGGGGAGCGGAGAGGATCGGCGGCGCGCCCCAGGGGAAGGAAAGCGCGAGAGGCGGCAGGCCTTCTCGGAAGGCAGCAGCGAGGGCCTCTCGCGGGGAGACGTTGAGGCTCGGGTTCGGGGGGCTCGGGTTGGCCCGACGGGGCCACCATCAGAAAGCAAAACAGAAATCCACCCCCAGAATAACCACCCCGACAAGCGAGGCCGTTCAGCACACGCGCCCAGAGAAGGGATCGAGCATGGCAAGGCTGTTTGGTGAACGCCCAAGGCAGCGTAGTAAACGCCAATGGTCAGGTCCGGGTGGTTTGTCCTCCCTTGACGTAAGGTTCGGGTTCGGGGGGCTCCGGTTGGCCCGAAGGAGCCATCATTGAAAAAGACGAGGGCCCCAGCCTGAAGCTTGGCGCGAGCTCTCGCTGCAGGCACCCCACGAAAGAACTAGACCGTCAAGATCCAGGACGCGCTCGTCCAAGAGCGTCGAAAACCCGAGATCCTGCGCACTCGGGCCTTGCGTCTCCCCGCCGCTCGGAAGCCCCGTGGCCCTCCCAGAAGCCGTCCGTCTCTTTGTCCTCGGAGAGGCCCCGACGACAAAGCTCGTCGGGCGGCGCCAGGGGCCTCCCGACGACCTGGGAGAAGGCCCGCCCCCTGGGACTTCCCCCCTCGCGGGCGCGCCGTCGACCGGAGGGAGGGAGCGGGACAGTAGGGAGCGGGGAGGGGCGGAGGGAGGGGCGGAGGAGGGTGAGGAGGCACTCCCTGGGAGGTCTTCGTCGGAGGGATTAAAGAATATTAAGCCTCGCTGGGGGGCCGCCGCGCTGGATGAAGCCGCGGGTCCACCGGGATGGGGCCGGATGAGGCGGGATGAAGCCGGGCCGAGCGGGACCTAGCCCGATTGAGCCGGAGTTCGGACCAAAGTTAAGAAAGAATTTGACCTCCCAGCTGGTGCATCCGAAATGGGGGTGCGAGGAAATCGGCACGAGCCGACGGACGTCCTGTCCAGCAACCGAGGCGCGCCCTGCGAGGACCTCAGCGGGGGAAGCATGGAGGCCGACCCGGCGATGCATCGCCGACAGATCAGCGGTACGCCCCCCAAGGCGAATCCCCACGCCCCAGGGGGAGGGGCCCCCATCGGCGATCGATGGGCGGTTTGGGGTGTCGAAGCATCCCCCCTGAGCAGACCCTCGCGTCGGGCATGTCCTCCTACAAACAGATTCTGGAAGGACCATAACCAAGTGCTGTAACAAATCACTCACTGCGTGGAGCTCCCTATATGTGCATCTCATGTGTTATGTCATGCCATAGTGAGCGTCCGTTCATGAGCGCTTGACAATAATAGCGCGTCCACATGGGCGACAGGGCCGACGAAAACGATTGAATCCGAATGCGAATGAGTGAGTATGAGTCAGAGTGAGCTTTGAGTATGATTAAATATGAACCTCCCATCCATCCCCCCTCCTCAGCTGCCAGGCCGTGCCTTCCTCAGCCTGTGGTAATGTGCATATGCTATAAGATGGTTGGCACTGGGATATGTAAAACGAGCGCTTAGCCACACAAGGCCATAGGGGCATATCATGTTGTAGGATCGTGCCACGGGGAGCATTTGTACATCATCGTTGAATGCTCCACGAACGCGTCCATGTGTGCGGCGAGCACACGTGCGCGCAGCGCGGAGGGTACATGCCGGAGCACGACCCAAGCGACCAGCACGCCTCGACTCTTTCCTCCGTGCGCCCCAGAGGGTACGTGCCGGAGCACGTCCCAAGCGACCAGCACGTTTCGACTCCTCCCTCCGTGCGTCCCAGAGGGTACGTGCCGGAGCCAAGGGAGCAGCACGCCTCACCTCCCTCCTCGCAGCATGAACACGAGCAAACCGCCTGAGGCATCCCCACAAACTGGCCGCGAACGGGACCATGAAAAAAACCATGGCGGCTCCCACTAGGGGTGCTGAACCCAGCGCCCCGCCTGAGACATCCTCACAATCTGCTCTGAAAGCCAAAGATGTTGGGCATGAAAACGAACAAACCGCCTGAGACATCCCCACAAACTGACCGCGAACGGGCCCGTGAAAACACCCCTGGCGGCTTCCCTGAGGGGTGCTGAAACCAGCGCCCCGCCTGAGACATCCTCAAAATCCGATACGACACCCAAGGATGTTGGGTATGAAAACGAACAAACCGCCTGAGACATCCCCACAAACTGGCCGCGAACGGGCCCATGAAAACACCCCTGGCGGCTCCTCTTAAGAGTGCTGGAACCAGCGCCCCGCCAGAGACATCCTCACAATCTGCTCCGAAAATTACTCGACGCGGGGCGCCCCATATGTGCATCTCATTACCTTGGTACGTCTTTCCATTGATATCTGTCAATGAGCACCTGCGTGCGAAGGCGAACCGCTAGCTCGAGACATTCCCACAGTCTGCAAGCACGACTGCGACCAATAGCAAATCTGAGA